TGAGGAACTGTTGGGAGGCCGAGGCTCCGTTCCGTCCGTCCTTCCCCAACCTCGTCCCGGTCCTGAGGAATTTCCGGGAGAAATATCGGGGTCAGGCCCCGTCCGTCTTCAACCTCTGCTGAGGGACCCCAAAATCTGCAGAATTGGAAAAAAAAAACCAAAAAAATCCACGGGATTGAGGGGAAAAATCCCAGAAAAAAATCTGTGAGATTGGGGAAAAAAATCCCCAAAAAATCTGTGGGATTTGGCAGAAAAAATCCCGAAAAAAATCCCACAAAAAAAATCCCTGGGATTGGGGAAAAAAAAACGAAAAAAAATTCTGTGGGATTGGGGGAAAAAACACCCCAAAAAATCCGTGGGATTTGGGAAAAAAGCCCCAGAAAAATCTGTGGGATTGGGGAAAAAACCTCGAAAAAATCTGTGGGATTGGGTGGAAAAAAAACCCAAAAATTTCCATGGGATTGGGGAAAAAAATCCCCAAAAAATTCCATGGGATTGGGGGGAAGAACCCAAAAAATCTGTGGGATTGGGAAAAAAAACCCCAAAAAAATCCATGGGATTGGGGGAAAAAAATCCCAAAAAAAATCCCCAAAAAATCTGTGGGATTGGGAGAAAAAAATCCCAAAAATCTGTGAGATTGGGGACAAAAACTCCCCCCAAAAAAATCTGTGAGATTGGGGAAAAAAACCCGAAAAAAAATCCATGGGATTGGGAGAAAAAAATCCCAAAAAATCCCTGGGATTGGGGAGAAAAAACCCAGAAAAATCTGTGGGATTTGGGGGAAAAAAAACCCCAGAAAAATCCCATGAAAAAAATGCAAAAAAAATCCCTGGGATTGGGGAAAAAAAAAACCCAGAAAAATTCCATGGGATTGGGGAAAAAAGTCCCCCAAAAATTCTGTGGGATTGGGGTGGGAAAAAACCCCAAAAAATTTCCATGGGATTGGGGAAAAAACCCCCAAAAATTCCCCAGGATTGGGTAAAAAAACCCGAGAATTCCCCGGGATTGGGGTGAAATCCCCAAAATTCCTGGGATTTGGGATTTTTGGGATCGTTGCCTTATATCCCCCAATCCCATCCTCTCCATTTGGGGTTTGGGGCGTTTTTGGGGTGTGGGGGAGGGGCTGGACCTCCTCCCTCCCCCCCGAAATTTGGGGCCTTTTCCCTAAAAAAATTAAAACATAAAAAATAAAAAAAAAAAT